GCTAAATGGTACAGCACTGAACCTGCTAATTTTATGTGCCACGGTTCGAGTCCTCCTGTATATAATAATATATATATATTAATATATAATATATATATATAATATATATATATATATATATATATATATATATATATATATATATATATATATATACATATACAAATGGTTTAGAAAAACACGTAAGCAAACACTAGGACATATTTATTAGAATAGGTAAAATTGGTCAATTAGCAAGAACTCATTTAAAATTAAGTCTTTTCTAAAATTTTCTCTTATACATTTAAAGATATATTTTTTTTCATTTGTGTTAATGTAAAAATTATTAATTTTGTACCAAAAGCACCTTAGAAAATTTACCTAATCTTATTGTAACAAGCGCAATTTAATTTAGTCTAATCCAACTAAATATATTTTAGATAAGTTTACAATAACTAAATAATAAACAAACCACAATGAAATATATTTTATTTCGTCAGGATCAGAATAATTTTTGCGAAATTATTGTGTACACAATTTTTCGCTTGCCTTATTCGGCAAGAAGAGCGTTGCTATTTAAGCCAAAATTGCAAGTTTTACCTATTCGGCACGACATATACATATACAAGCACTCGTGAGATATTTTTTTTTACTGAGGATTGTTGGAATGGATGAAGGGAGGGTAATCAACATGCTCGGTCAGAGGGGCTAGAATTCTCTTCGGGAATTTGTTTCGTGTGCTCTTGTAATGAAAATAGTGAATGGAGCGTTTGTGTGTATGTCAAGGACTTGTACTTGTGAGAGTGGGAAGGATTTCTGGACATACACAACTGTTGGTAAAGAGACGTTTGACTCTTGCCTAAAGCCACCATGTTTATGTATGGGGTGTAGGCGCCAGCTGGAGTAAGATTTGCATTCTAGTTTGTTGTGGTCCTTGTTGTTTCTCGAGTGATTTGTCAGATGGAGTGTGAGCAACACATGATATTCTGGAAATATTCTCTCATTTTTTTCTTGTATCTCACCCATATTTCCGCTTTGCTTACTCTCAAATACTCCCAAATCATTACGGCATAATGTTAGTACATGGTATCAGTCTGAGAGACCCTTAGATCGTTTATTAGAGGGTCACTAAGCTTCCATTTTACCTGCACACACCCCTCTTCTTATGTACTTACCTGAAATAAAGATCAGAGTTAATTCTTAGTGCATATATGCTAAGAGCCACACGCCTCTTGGTGTGGAAAATATATATACATTGTGACCCTAAGTTGAGAGTTTCACTTCAGTTAAGCCGTCATTATCTCTATCTTGTTTTAATAATATTAGAACCATTTTTTATTTAGGAATTAATGTAGATAGTAGAAAAAGCGCAAACGCACACAAGTCTGGTGATATTGTATATTGGTATTTAACAGAAGCCTTCAATAGAGTTTTTTTTTTTTTTAGAGAAAAACGCTGTTGAAATAAAGTAAAAGGATGACTCTCTTTTCTATATGAATAAAAACTGAGAACAGTGGTAAGAGTAAAAATGTATTTATGGCAAAATGTCGCCATTGAGATTCCACAACACTCTTTACTTGTCCCAGAAATTAAATGAACAACCTGAATATATGCATGTATAGACAGGGACTCGATCCTTATGACGACGTTTCGGTCCGACTTTAACCGCTAACAAATCACACGGGTTTAGTCTCATTCACTCGGGTTGTGTATTGTTCCAGCCACAGTTTTGTGACTTTGTATTCTTTATTTTGAGTATATGAATATATATTTGCGAGTGATGGTAAATTTATATACGATGAGGTAGATAAACGCCATTAAGGAAACAGGAGAATACCATATGAAGCCGCACAAAGATTACAGCCTTGTGGTAAAATACTGAAATTTCACAATCCCTATAATGTCACAATCTGTCACAGTACCCTTCACGGAATTTGATCCCAAGGCTTTAGCGTGGAAATCTGCTTCACTAGCAATCAGTGTATATAAGTGCAGATGGTACAGTGGTAGAGCTACCAACACAGCTGAATGACAGAGAATATTGTTATGGCATTGGCATTATCATCCGAATGATCCAATTATTCTCACCGGTCTCTTAAAGTACAGCTCCCGGTACATCCCTCCTCCCTCAGAACTAGTTTGACTGAATTCCTTCACAGATACCATGATCCTCACACGTCAAATTAATATATTAATATAATATATTGCACTCATTCTGATCAACATGTCTACCGGATGCTCAAGTTCCGGCCTCTCAAAACCTTAACACTCTCCTACCTACCCTTCACAAATTCCCCAGATTTAAAAATTCTCGAGATCAATTTATATATTTTGCCATTCATTACAAATAACTAAAACTTACCAACAACTCTTCCACTCTATAAATTATACTTTTCATGCCACGACATAGTCTTTTTTTATGCTCCATATTCTTTATATACGATTCGCACCAGACACTTATCTCCAAGACTTTCTTTTATAATTAACGTCATTTAATTCACTGTACTTCACTGATTCCTTTTATTCAACACTTCTAGCAGGTACTGGAGTTTTCTTTGATAAGACATGACTTCCAGTAGCACTGGAGTAATTTTTTTTTTAATTTTCAACACAGAATATGACTTCCAGCAGGACTAGAGTTCTCTAATACAACTTTTTTCTCCTGGATACGGCCCACCACAGTCGGCTAGCACATGGGGACCTGTTTTTGCTAGCAGGTTAGCAACGGGCAACAAGGGTGTGGGGAGACTCCTTATGTTTCTTCGTGCCAGTAAATCGAATCCAAGACCTTGGGATTATGAGTCGAATGCTTTCACCAGTGAGCCAGTGGCACCTCAACACGACGTCACTGCCTCCAGTCTCATCCTCGCTGCAAAACCTCAGAAAAAAATGGGAAAGAACGGAGGCGTTGATGAGGCCTTTTGGAGGAAATTACTCCTTTATCAGAGGAAAATGATTAGGTTAGAACATCTGGTGGAGAATCATGTGGGCGCTCACTGGCAATGTAAGAGGAAGTATTAGCACTCCGGGTCCTGCACGAGAGTTAGCCAAGATCCTAGATAAATGAATAGAGGTTAATGAGTCATAATAGCTAATTAATAGCAACACACCGTCAAGTTGTGCTCATTTATACGTTTCCGGTACGTATATAAATATTAATGATTGGTATATGTATTCCATTTTGAATTGAAAATTAAAAAAAAAAAGCCAAGTACACTGACTAACAGACATTAAGACAAACAAAAGGCAGAAACAAATTACAAGTGATTCCATTTTGCATAGAATATTTAACAGAACTCTTCGGTTTGCCTTTGACCATAATCAAGTTTTACCATCAGTCATCACGATCATCCTGTGGGAACTACGTCATTCATCTGACAAACTGCCATTACATCGTTGTGTACCGCAACAGGTTGACAGAAAAGCTCACAGTCATGTCCTTTGGTAAACTTATTATTAAAATATTATCAAGTAAATACCGATACGTAACATTTCCTCAACCCTAAACATAACAGTGATTTTATTGCACTACCATACTGAGTGTGAATCATCAATAATTAGCCGCTCGTACAGAGTTTCAGCATGACGAATATTGTTTAGAAAGTAAAGACATTTAATTAGAATGCAGAGCTCTTTCAATCATTCGGCTAAAAAAAGACTACAAAACATCCCAGCAGTCTCATCATCGGTCAACTAAAAACACTGAACCCGAGTTCAGGAAATCAATGAGTCTGCCAACAGAAACGATAAAGAATGAGATGAAAAATATCACAGACGTGGAATTTATTTCCTCTGTGGAAGTTAATTCCCAGTTGAAATGTGTACATTGTAAATATATTCCTATCTACCCTAAATATATGCATTATTGGTCTAAGTTAATTTCATACAGTAATCATCCATTTTTCTATATAATACACCATTATAGCAGGCTTATATATATATATATATATATATATATATATATATATATATATATATATATATATATATATATATATATATATATATATATATATATATATATATATATATATATATATATATATAATATATATATATATAAAGTATTTTAAAATACATTTTACTTATATTTGCATATTTAAGTTTATTTACCTCTAAGGGCCCAAATCCAAGTGACGTGACTTATCATTAAGTACAAATGTAATCTGAGCAGCATTCTCATGAATAAATCACGGGGATGCATGGAAGCGATAGACCAGAAGATTGTACACGGGACGAAATACTGCTCAAACACGGCAGGATAAATGGCAGACGGTAGATCGCAGTGGGAGTATGAAAAGATTAAGGTGTCGTGATATCATGCTAGCTGGCGATACTAAACTGTCAGTTAACGAAGGCCTATTCAGTTACACGTATCACTAACTGACAACTAAAACTAGGATTAGTGTGACGCGGTCAAGTATAAGGGACGTGGAATAAGAATCGAGTGACTGGTGGATTGTGGCGCCAGGTCCAGGCAGATTAACTGACTGTGAGGCATCTAATATATATATAAAGGAGCAGATAAGCATCACGTATAAGTATTATTTATGTGTGCAATACGTAATATGCTCGTAGGAGCCAGATATGTTTTAGGGTTGGTTAATTGGGTTTAATGCCTACCGGCCTCTTCATCCTCAGTCAAGATATTTTAACCTTTAAAATTGGGATTAAAGTAAGCTGTCAGTCAGTGTAAACACGCTGAGAGACATACACCTCTCGGGTGTATATACACTGAGAGATACAAATCTTGGAATATACACTAATATTTATTATACTGTAAGTTACATCTTACAGTCTGGGCTTTGAAATGAGCTGAAATAAAATTACAATGCTGCATATTATTAGAGTACGTATCACATTCAGTGAAAAAAGGTTACTGGATAATCAGGACTGATTTGAGAAAGGGGCTGGTAGCTTCAATATCTTTGGATCAAAATTCTTTCACCAACATCAAGGCAAGTGCTTGATGCTCTGCACATAAACTGCATTGTGTTAAGCTCTCTCTGTCACACCCACAGGGTCAAGATCAGCGGTGTCACTCTCAGAGCCCAGTGGGAAGGTATACACCAGAGTGGCAGCCTCAGGTTCCTCAAGCCTCACAAACATCTCTACCACCAGCACATTGATTCAACCCCCGCCCGTCTACCCCAGTCTCCATACTCAGAAGCTGGATGCCAGCGGGTCCTCGGGGGTGTTCACCCCTCCTGCGAGGTTCAACAACCAGGTGCTGCCGAGCTTCGCCAACACCACCCTCACTAACGTCACTGTCATTAGAGGCAAAGTGGCCTACCTGCACTGCCACGTTCTCAATATAGGCACCAAAACAGTACGTGGCTTTAAACTTTTAGTTTTGTGAGACATTCAACAATCACTACTGGTTTTAAATAATAAGAAAAAAAAGAATAAAGAATTTCTATAGACGTTCTCGTTTTCAAGTGATTAACAAGCTGCTAAAAGGAAAGGAATTGTCGATTATTTTTATTATAAGCGCTGAATCTGTAATGGTCATACATCGCCTAGAAAACCAAAGGTGATCAGATTTGATATGGTTACATCCAGCATCACCGTGACTTTTGTTTTGAATCCTGTAAGTGAATTCACGTTGCATCACCTTGAATTGCACGAACGTGAAAGCTGGCTAGTTTCTAGTTGATCTTTTCAAGTAGTTAACTTACTATTAAATTGGTGCCAGACATGAGGGTTGTGATTTTGTTATCAGTTCGCAGAAACAAAGTCCAGATACTCGCGATATGCTCTCAACACTCACACTGAATATTTCAACAAAATTTACAGATTCGTGGTCATCTTTCTAAGATGTTGAGCTATTTATTTCAATATCGTCTAGTATTTTGGCTCTCGAACAATGCAGTGATATTTTGTAAGTGATTTATTTGAAGTCAGAACAAATCTTCTCTCTCTCTCTCTCTCTCTCTCTCTCTCTCTCTCTCTCTCTCTTTCTTTCTTTCTCTCCTAACACATTCTCGTCACGTCCTGACAGGTCTCGTGGGTTCGTCACGAGGACATCCATGTGCTGACAGTGGGTCGTCTCACCTTCACCAATGACGGCAGGTTCGAGGCCATGAACAAACCGGGCTCGGACGTCTGGTCTCTCAGGATCAAGTATCCGCAGCTTCGAGATTCCGGGAAGTACGAGTGTCAGGTGTCCACTCGGCCGTCCAGAGCTCGAGTCATCACTCTTAATGTGGTTGGTAAGTGTTGTCTTGTACCATGCTGCCCAGTCTCGTTTCATTCTCATCTATATAGAGTTTCAGACGAAAGCCGAGAGAGGTGGACGGTAAACAATCTATCCATGTACTTCTGTCCTCTATTCATGTACTTCTGTCTTCTTCCTATTGTTCTATTTTTTCAGCTTTGTGTTTTCATATGTTATATCCCGCATCCTTTGTTTGAGCCACTATAGATGTTTGCAGCTTGACTGGCCAGAGACCCGACCTCGATTAGCGGAAGGAGAATGCAACTCCACCACTTCGCGGACTGAACGACCCACACGGGCTTATCTCGTATTACAAAAGAAGTTTCATCTACAAGAGAAATGCCATAATAATAAAAAGACCTCTTTTGTTTTTTGTCTTTTTTTTTTAACCCACTTGTTGGCTCACGGCTATAATCCATCTTCGTGAAAAACAGTCTACTCTAGCACGGCCGCCGAGAACTCTGGTTATCACTGTGTGGCTGGCTTGCTGGCTGGCTGGCTGGCTGGCTGGCTGGCTGGCTGGCTAGCTGCTACCCATGTACACACGTACGTCCACTTTCCAACTTTCCATTTTTACCCTGAAATTGGGGAGAGTCCCCTTTCCTGTTTTGGGGCTTGGCGGATGGGGGGCTCGAGCATTTTTAACCCTTCCCTTTTGCCCAAAAAGCCCAAGCTCTTACACTTCACACAAAAAAATGATACTACCATTTCTACTACTACACTACTACTACTACAAAATAAAAAATAATAATAAAATCCTTCCCCCCGAAACCCCGGTTTGTGCCAAACAGCTGGGGAGTATACATAAATTTAGGGAAAAACAAAAGGCCTTTTATTTTGACCCCGAGGGAAAATCATTCACAAAATGGCGACTGAGGCTGGGTTTTACAGGGGAAAGAAAGCCCCCTTTGAAAAAAGAAATTTTTTAAAGAAGAGTTTCGTGGGAGGTGGTCCCAAAATTTAACCCCCCCTCCGAATACAAAAAAAGGGTTTCGAAATCATTACAGAGCGCTATTTTTACATAATCTAACCTGGGACCAAAATTAAATATTAGTTATTTCTAAGATGATTAAGTTTTATTAACAGGGGTTTTTTTAGAAACGTTTTTATATTTATTTTGCCCAAAATTTTTCAAATGTTAATCGCTCGTGTTCAATAAGTGGTATGAAAAACTAAATTTTACTGCTTACTAAGCCCCGAATTTTAGGACCGCGTCGTTAAAAAATTCGGAAAGAAAATTTGCTTTACTGACCCGTTGGGAAAGGGGTTTATTAAGCAGCGAAACGGAAAAGAAGGGGGAAGTTTAAAAAGCAAAAAGAGGGATTATAGAAACCTAGAGAGTAGTAGATTGAAAAGAGAGAGAGAGAGAGAAGAGAGAGAGAGAAAGAGAGGGGAGAGAGAGAGAGAGAGAGAGAGAGGGGGGGAGAGAGACGAAAAAAGACGGGGTGGAAAATTTCAAACTCTCCTTTGAAAATCAAAGAAAGAGGATCTCAGTGTTTCTTGCTATATTTGGAAAGGGCAACCCTTTATTAAAAAACCCCCTTTGTTGAAATTTTAAAGATTTTTATAACAACAACCCCTCCACGAAACAACACCTCCATTAACACCACCTCCACCAAACAAAAACCTCCATCCCAACCCATCTCCTTTCCCAAAAACCCCTCCCCCAAACAACACCCCCCATTAAAAACCCCCCTACCATCACCACCCCCCAAAAAAACACCCCCATCAAAACTACCTCCTCCAACACCACCCAAAACCCCAAAAAACAACCCCCCATCAACATAAACCCCCTCCCAAAACCACCTCCCAAACAACACCTCCCTCAAAAACTATCTCCTCCAACACCCCCCCCTCCACCAAAAAAACCCCCTCCCCTCAAAAAATAAACCCCCTCCAACACCACCCCCCAAAACCCCCCTCCCCAACCCCCATCTCCCCTAACCCCCAATTTTCCAAACCCAAAAACACCTCCATCTCACACCCCCCTCCAAAAACCCCCTCCCCCAAAAAACACCCCCTCAAACACCTTCCCTCCAACAAAACCCCCTTCCCCCAAACAACACCTCCATTTAACACTAACCCTCCTCCCAACCCCCAAACCTCCACCCAAAAAAAACCTCCATTAACAGCAAACCCCCACCATCACCCTCCCCCAAACAACAAACCTTCCCTCAAACACACCCCCTCCAACACCCCCTTCACCAAACCCAACCCCCTCCATCAACAATACCTTCCCCCAAAAACCACCTCCACCCAAAAAACAACCCCCATTCCCAAAACTACCTCCCCCAACACCACCTCCACCAAAAAACACCCCCATCCAACACAACCCCCTCCAACAACCCCCTCCACCAAACAACACCTCCATCAACACAACCCCCCCCAAAACCCCCTCCCCAAAACAACACCTCCATCAACACTACCTCCAACACCCCTCCACCAAAAAAAACACCTCCCAAAAAAACTACCTCCCCAACACCACCTCCACCCAAAAAACCCTCCATTAACCCCCACCTCCCAACACCCCCTCCCCCAAAAAAACCTCCATCAACGCTACCTCCCCCAAAACCACCCCCCCACCAAAAAAAACACCTCCCCAACCCCCACCGCTCCAACACCACCCCCCCCCAAACAAAAAACCTCCATCAACACTACCCCCCAACACCCCCTCCACCCAAAAAAATCCTCTAACAACACTACCTCCTCCAACATCACCCCCACCAAAAAAACACCCCATCAAACACAACCCCTCCAAAAACCACCTCCCCCAAACAACACCTCCAAACAAAACTTTTCCTCCCCCAACACCACCTCCACCAAAAAAACACCTCCAACAAAAACTAATCCCCAACACCACCTCCACCAGCAACACCTCCATTAAAAACCACCCCACCATCACCCCCTTTACCAAAAAAACACCTCCATCAAAACTAAACCCCCCCAACACCACCTCCACCAAAACAAACCCCCATCAACACTATCTGCTCCAACACCCCCCCACCAAAAACACCTCCTTCAACCTAATCCTCCAAAAACCACCCCACCAAAAAAAAAAACACCCCCATTTAAAAACTACCTCCTCCAACACCACCTCCCCCAAAAAACACTCCATTAACAGCACCCCCCACCATCAACCCCCCCACCCAAAAAACCCCCCATCAACATACCTCCCCCAAAACCACCTCCACCAAACAACACCTATATCAAAAAACTACCTTTCTCCAACCCCCTAACCAAACAACACCTCCATCAAAAACTAACCCCCTCCAAACCCCCACCACCAAAAAACCCTCCATCAAACTTTACCCCTCCAACACCACCTCCACCAAACTTTACCCCCTCAACACTACCAAATCCAAAAACCACCTTCCCCCCAAAAAAAACACCCCCATCAACACTACCTTTTCCCCCCAACACCACCCCCACCAAACAACACCTCCATCAACACTAAACCCCCTCCCAAAACCCCTCCACCAAAAAAACACCTCCATTAACACCCCTCCACCAAACACTACCTTTACCAAAACAAACCTCCATCAACATACCTCCCTTTTTAAAACCACCTCCCCCCAAAAAACACCTCCATCAACACTACCTCCTCCAACACCACCTCCACCAAACCAAAACCTCCATCAATACTACCTCCTCCAAAAACCACCTCCACCCCAAAAAACAACCCCCATCAACACTTTCATCAAACCAACACCACCTCCCCTCAAAAAAAACCCCATAAACCTACCCCTCCAACACCACCCCCAACCAAACAACACCTCCATCAACACAAACCCCCCCAAAAACCCACCTCCCACCCCAAAAAACAAACCCCCCATCAATCTACCCCTCCAAAAACCACCTTCACCAAACAAACCCCTCCAACAACACTATTCCTCCCCAACACCCCCTCCCAAACACAACCCTCCCCCAAAACCACCTCCATCAAACAACATCCCCCAACACAAACCTCCTCCCAACCCCCACCTCCACCAAACAACAACCCCCCTCAAAAACTAAACCCCTCCCCAAAATCACCTCCACCAAAAAAACCCCTCCATCAAAAACCCCCTCCTCCAACCCCCAAACCCCCACCCAAACCCAAAAACCTCCATCCAAAACTACCTCCCCAACACCCCCTTCCCCCAAACAACAAACCCATCAACACTTTCATCCTCCAAAACCACCTTCACCAAAAAACACCTCCATCCCAAAACTACCTTTCCCCAACACCACCCCCACCCAAAAAACCCCTCCAAACAAAAACTACCTCCTCCAACACCCCCTTTACCAAATAACCCTCCATTTAACACACCTCCCCCCACCAAAACCCCCTCCCCCAAACAACACCTCCCTCAACACTACCTCCTCCCCAAAAACCCCCTCCCCCAAACAACACCTTCATCAACCCTGCCTCCCCCAACACCCACCTCCATTTAAACAAAAACCCCCATCAACACTACCCCCTCCAAAAACCACCCCCCCACCAAACAACACCTCCATCAATACTACCTTCCCCCCCCCCCAAAAAACCCCCTCCCCCAAACAACACCTCCATCAACACAAACCCCCTTTCCCAAAACCACCTCCACCAAAAAAACACCTCCATCAACATACCTTTCTCCAACACCAAACCCCCACCAAAAAAAAAACCTCCTCAAAACTACCTCCCCAGACCACCTCCACCAAACAACACCTCCCCTCAAAAATCCCCCCTCGAACACCCCCCCACCAAACAACACCCCCAACAACATACCTCCTCCAAACCACCTCCCCCCAAACAACACCTCCCCCAACACTACCTAAACCAACACCACCTCCCCTCAAACAACACCTCCATCAAAACTACCTTCCCCAACACCACCTCCCCCAAAAAACACCCCACCCCAACCCCACCCCCCCCAACCCCACCCCCCCAAACACCTCCATCAACACTACCCCTCCCAAAACCACCTCCACCCCAAAAAAACCTCCAACAACACTAAACCCCCTCCAACACCA